ACAGAAGACGAGTCAAGAGGGAATGAATATGTTAATGGCCCGGGTGAGAGTGTGCCTCTGCGTAGGTCCAGCAGACAACGACGTCCCCCAGAACGTTTCGGTGACTATGTGATGGACAAATAGCTAAGAATATCTGATCATAAATTTTAATTGGTTACACAATTTTAGATATTTAACTTTTGTCATAAAATAAGAAAAAAGAGAAGTTACGCCAGTATTACATGACGTATTGCCTTTGATATGCGCCCGCGAGTGACGGTGACATTTATACAGTCTAGCGCATGTTTTGTTTACTTGTATTAATTTGGCTCCTTGAATGAAAAGGTTGCCTCTTGTTTAAATATATTTCTATTTATGGATTGTGTGTATGACTTATCGTCTTATTAACTGGCGCTGCTGTTTTAGTTTATGTATTTCTGCACGTCTGTTTATTTCAAAACTTCAGAGAAGAAAACTCCCACTGATTCAGACAAGATCTCTGAAGAAATATTTTCAAATTTATAAACAAGCTCCAGGCATGTAGCCAGCCCCATACGAATGGGGGGGGGGAGGTATAAAGTGCCAAATACATAAAAGTACTGTTCTGACTGTTTTAAAAGCTAAAAATGTTTCAATTTTAAGGTTAGCGAAACGCTCCCACGTGCATATTTGGCATGGCCTTTTGGTGATCTATGCCACAGATTTGGTCTATTTCATGCAATAGATGAAATATTTACGAGATTAACAAAGCATGTGCGTAAAAAACTAATAATATAACACGTCAAATTAATAGAAAAAGAAAGTTTTAAATGCCGGATGTTTGTGATGTTACTCTGAGTGTGCATCCACACCGGGCAAGCTGAAAAGTTAGCTTGGCCACGGTGGGAATCGAACCCGCGACCTTTGGGATACTAGTCCAAGTTTTAAGAACTTGTTATTAAGTTGAGAAATGCTTTAATGCATTCTAAAATCATTTTCCTTTTGAAACGATACACATATTATACAACATTTACGTACACGAACGGGAATCTAATTTGTGTTCCGTTTTCAGGAATACAACTTTGCATCTAACTTTTAGATTACACGAATTAATATATTATAGTGGAAGTCTTCTAGACTTCAAAGCAAATGTAGTCGACAAGAGATTTTGAGAATGCAACTTAATATCTTCGGCTACATCTCTTTCGCTACTAGCAAGAACCAAGCTCTCAAGTCGATCTTCACCCATGGTTGCTCTCATGTATAATTGTTGATAATTTTACTGAACTTTGCTGTGGCATCTTTCGCATGAAGCTATTGTAACTGGAATTGTGGCCGCAATACAAATGATTCTGTGAAGGTTTAGGTAAAGGCCAGCGTGATCACTTTCACCAAACTTCTTTAATATTAATGGAAGGTAAGGGTTCTTTCACCCCTCTTTCTGCATCAAACTGCAAAAGCATCCAGACTTTCGGAATAAAGAATATTCCCGACAGGTACCTTCCTCTAGAATTTTGTATCTTCTTGCCAAATTCCGCACCTTTTCTATATTAGAGACCTTATACAATTTTAGGACAGCAACGCGATGGCCGACGGCCAAAACAAACTCCTTCAAATAAATGGTAGTAAACATGACTCGTCGTATATTATCAATCTTATGAATTTAATACAATCTTAGAAGTTAAAGACATGGGTTTTATGGTTGGGACAAATTCTGCTGAACCCAGTTTGAAGTTGCACTTGTTGCGGTTTGAAATGCAGCCGTTGGCGTTGTATGAAGACGTGAAAATCTGTGATTTGGCGTTGTAAACAGAGCGAGGACAATGACTAAATTATTCATATATTGTAACTACTCAATTCGTTTCAATAATTTATTGTATTGGTAACCATTGCTGTCGTGTTGCCGTCCTAAATCGTAAAGTCTCTATTATTATCACTCCAACGTGCTGGAGTGAATGCCGAGAATTGTACCAATACTGAAAATAGCCTCCTCAGCTCCCTCAGCAGCAGACCAAGCAGACAATAGTAAAAATCAATGCGTTTTGAGTTGAGTTGAGTTGAGGAGGCAACGTGGTAACTGAATGATACACCAAGCAATGTTTGTCCATCAGCTAGACAATTTGGAAGCGTTCTATGGCGTTTAATTTGTTGCTGGGATCTCTAAACGAATCTTCAACGTGAAATTCGACTGCCTTGAACTTACTAGTATGTACAAACTCGAGAAATTATTCCTCATTCCGGAAGAAGAAAATCTAGCGATTAGCGCAGTTACCGCATCCACAGCGGTCACTAAGTCCATTTATTCTCTTTAAAGTATTCTGAAGCGTTGCATGACTTGCATCAAACTAAACTGTACATAACAGACTGGATAGCCTGCGAACGCAAATACGCAATTATTTCAATTTAATGACGACAGTTGATTTCTTTAAAAATATTCGCAACTTGCACCCCCTCCTAGTTTCTTCCCACTTTTGGAAGAATTACAATATTGATCTTTACAAAAAGTGGGGGCGGGGGGGTCCGGACCCCCCATTCCCCCCCCCTTGGCTACGCGCCTGACAAGCTCTTGGGAAGTTTGCTTTAAATTTTAAGTTAACCTAGGGTTAAGCTAACCCAACTTTGAACAACCGACCCCTGGGCACCCCGCACCCCTGAATACAACCAAGCTCTGAAAATGACATTGTGTTTCAGTTGCAAAATGCAAATACAATCCACTTCTATCCAACCAATGGGTTTTTAGGCCCTTTCGCGATATTTTAACTGCATTTAGATTAAGAGGCAACTATGAACTAAAAGTGCTAAAAGGCTGAACAAAATCATTTTACCTGTGCTTCTTCCAAACTTCATGTAATAAAAATGTCATGCTTTGCTAGTCTGTCGTGTCTTCATCGTCGAATAATCGGAAACAATCGGATTGGCAATAAAAACAACTATCAGAAAATACAATATGACACTAATGACAGTATCAGTATAAAACAAACTTTTATATACAATACACTAGAGACAAACGGAAATATTTACAGTATGAATATAGAAATGACTGCATTTCTTTTTCATGGATGTTAGTTGAAGTGATTATAATGCTGTTGGAGAGGTAAGAAAAGCTGCTGAACCTTGAAAGTTGAAAGTTGAAAGTTGAAACTGGGACATGTATGAACTTGATCTTGACACTTTAATATTTGTATTTTGGTTTTTAACATAGATATCTCATATGGTTTTTAATCATGCAGTATTGTCATATCGATCATTGAATGCAAAATGTTTTGATATTTTTCAGACATTTATGAGAAACATTAGAAACCTCACCAGCTATATGGGCCAGTGATATAGTTAATAATATAGTGCTGTACATCTGCTGAGTTTTACAAATCTTTACAGTGATTTCTAGTAAACAGTTTATTTATATGTCCATTATTTTGATGTTAAACTAACATATCTTTTCATGTTAATTGCAGTTATTTGATCCTAAAAGCCAAATGGAAAAATGTGAGGAAAGCTGGACTTTATAGGCAAAACATTGGGTTGATATACAGTATTTGTTGAAATTGTGGAATTATAATATGTGATTTCAGCTTTCATGCATATTATAAATTATGAATAATACCACAACCTCTCCAAGTCAAACTGCTGAACCCGGCTTAGTTTTTGTTGTCTTAGCGTGTGTTTTGTTATCATTTTGGCTTCTCTTCCTGGGTTTTTATTTTTCAAGATTTGTTGGACTTATTCTTACCCGAATCTTCAGTAAGCTATTCATTCCAAAGGATGCCTATCTTAGAATTGGTAAGTCGATCTTATTGAGTCCATACAGATCACATGCAATCATGTACCCAGAGCCTGTAATCCTCTGCAGTGTACGTCTCTGATAGGTTGACTGATATAATTAACAATTATTCGCCAAAGGGAAGGTTTATTCACGATAATCACCAGGCGTGAGGTACGTGAATAATTGTTTTAGTATAATTTCATAGGTGATTATTTAGAAAAAAATAAAAAATACACATTTCTTTGTCATTTAATTGACAAAACGGCTTCGGCCACCGTTTCAAAAATCACTTAGGTGATTATCACATTATAATCACCTCACGTTATAATCACCTCACGGCAACCAATCAGCGAGGAGAATTTTCAATAATCACCCACCATACTAATTGTCATTATTCCATGGACGAAATTGTATGTAAAATTTTAATAAGTGTACATTTTACTAACTGCTAGTATTATATTACAAGTATTCCCCCCCCCCTTCCCCCATTAGGAAGTGTGAATATTTTCTGGAATGACCTAGTGGCATATATTATATCTTTATAATATAAGAGATTTCTTGGTCCTTACTGTTTTGGCAAAACAATTGAAATTAATCTCTTTTGAAGGATCTATAAACAGACATATAACAAATAGTAGTGCTTTATACTTTATATCTCCATTACAAGCCTAGAAAATATATTTCTCTTCTCTTTGTGCATAATTATGCAGATTTCAGAGAATGTATGGTGCTACATAGTGTGATCGACTTCAATCTCGGCACAAGATAATTTTGTAAAACACTTCTGGAATTTTTAAACAATAAGTAAATTTTATGGCATTCCAGAGTATACACTGTAAGATGACAAAAATTTCCTGCAAATTATAAGAAAATTTCCTGTGAAGATATTTTGTTAAACACTTCATGGCAGTGGTGCTGCTGGCACTGCCAGACATTTTTCAGAACTGCTCCATTATCTAAACCATCATGAAACAACAGTGTCAATAGCTTCAACTGTGTCATTATTTCATTATCACTTCATGTTTGTGTGGCAGCCATATGTAACTTTGGAATGCCGAGCAGAGTACTAAAGCCACTGTTTGGGCAAAATGAGGATACAGCTAGTGTTGGAGTGTATTGTTCAACTTCTTGTTTTGCCATTAATTAAATCATTAAGTTGTACTGTCCCCCGATGAGCCTTACTTTATTGTTTTACTCTGTCTAACAGACGATTTTACTCATCAAGGGGAGAGCGCTGGTGCTTGTAATATTAGAGGGTATGGAAACTGGGATTTGCCTATTTTTGGACTGGGAAAATAGGATTTGGATTACTGGGACCAGGAAAGAGAGACACAAAATGGGAATGGGAAAACCCATATAGTATAAAGACAGTTGTAGTTGTACATTTACTGCAGAGCAATTTTTGATAGAGAATTTGTATAATAAGTCCAGGAATACTGAATTTACTATTGTGAAATGAACGTTTTGCTTTATTGCTCATATGTAGAGTTTTCCTATCCCGCTCCATACTTTCTGTTCCTGCAATCTTGACAGGTACACTTACGTACATGACAAAATGTGCTGTCCGTATATGTAAGATAAAGCATTAACGAAACACTTGCCAAAAGTTTACTTATTACTAGAAATTTCGCACAGGGTCTTTGGCTCTTAGCTAGGATTTTAGATTTTGGGAGTGTTTTTAGATTTCCAGGGTGTGCACCTGCCGATTACCCAGAACAACCAAATGCACGGTTCCAGTTATGGCAAACTGTCATTACAATTAATGATTGTAGGGACTCTTTGGCCATTTAAAGTTATTTTGACACCGATACGACTGCCACTGCATATATCCATCCAAATATAACAACAACGTTAAGTTACGTATAAGGAATCGCTGTATTCGCTGACTATTTTTAGTGAAATACAGAAACGACGGTAACTCCGAAAATTAACAAAAAATAATACGGGTCACTTTTACCAATTTCCCCAAACTAGATTTTACAAATTTTCTAACGCCATAAACAAAAGCAAATTTCCATCGAACCTGTTTCAGTAGAAGCGTTCAATGTATACAGTATAGTGAATTAGTTTGTTCCGTTATGGCTATAGCTCCTCATACATGCGTTTATATCAATATTATAATATTGAATTAAAAATGACGTCGAGTTATGAATGGACGTATACATTTTATATCGCACGAGGACATGGTAATTTTGAACAAAGTCAAACCAGATCAATCATGTTCCAACATCAGCCAACAATATGAAACATAATGCTCAGACATAATGCAAGGCTGGACTTTTGTGGAAATGCTGCATGGGGGAGGTGGAAAATATTTCAGGACAGGTGTAGTGGTCTAGCCCACGGCCTCCATGGATGTTAGCGCTCAGAATGTATCCTCTGAAGTGTACATATCTATCAATGTATTCATGAATTATGACTGTACAACTCATGCAATTTTGCCCCATGTTACAGTTATTATACTACAAAGCTGCTTTAGAAACATTGCATTAAAAGGATAATTGACACAGTGATGATTGATTATCACTTTTTTGAGTTTTTTTTAGAAAAAAGTGTTACAAGTGTATATTTATAAAAATTTTGTGCAAACATTAAAGTTAACTGTTAGGTTTGAGTTAAATTTTGACTTTGATCCATCATTTTTCAAGGGGAATCGCGTGAATTTTCAGGAGACGTGCAAAATGATGGGCACTAGCTTCCATCAAAATCCAGCCATGACAATGTTCAAAAAAACCCAACCAAGTTGCATGGGTGATGTTGACCATGGTTGCACTGTTTAGTTTGGCGGGCCTTTATTACGAGCCATCGCAGCTGGTGAACATACTGTACAGTATAATCGATTGCAACGCTTCGGTCTTCTTCCATCATTAGTGAAATTTTTCTTTCTTGTTAATTTCTTGCCAAACCTGTACCAACATTGAAATGCTAGACCTAGCTAACAAAGGTACGCCTTCGCTGTCGATGGTAGACTCATTATTTACTAAACCTTTTACTTCTTACTTTCAGGTTCTTTTTCTATCTCGGTATTATCTGGAAAGTTAATGTTTAGAGATGTTTTGTACGTGACAAAGGATTTGACGTTTAGGTAATTGACGTAATATGTATAGTGATTTAAATTTCGTGTTCGTATAATTTAACGTGAACTATCAAATATTATTTTGAGATTTTAATGATAACTGTGTTTCCTAGAGTGGTTGATGGGTATGCGATATTTCATTGGTGGCAGAAGTATATCCCAGAGAATGGTGGTAAATTTTAATTATACATCCAAATAAACTCATAAAAATTTAAAATTTTGCTAAAATGTTATGTTCGCCGTACTTGTTTCCAGTTGTTGACCAGTCTGGAACAATTGTTGTTATAAGAGGAGATTTTTTTGTAAGTTCGTGACACGCGCTCAGAACTAATGCGTATAATATATCACTTGAGGTTATGACTAAATTCAAAATTTTTATTTTTCGATACGTTTCTCAATCGGCAAACAAACTTAAAAAGTATGTTTAGTACATGCTCTATCTGTAAAATAATGCTAAAATGAAGAGATTTTAGATGATACGCCAAAGAGAAAATGATGTCTGAAGTTCAGTGACAGTAAGTTTTGCATATATGGCAGCCCGCTGTAAATATGGCGTCAATTTTAAAGCATCATTGCATGATAATTAGTGTATTTTAATTGACAATTTTTAAGTATTATTTTATGTTTCTCAATAGGCAGATGCATTTAAAAAGGTTGCTAACTCTATAAACTAGAGAATAAAGCTAAAACAAAGTAATTTTGAGAGGAACGCCAAAAAGATTTTAGTTTTCAACACTTTTCATTGCAAATACGTGACATTGAAAAAAATTGCCTCTTAATGTTAAAAGTTACCTGTTGCTTTATTTTCTCCTTTCGTTTCCAAACGAAATTCATCATAAGTATAATTAAACTTTAGCATGAAAAAGAGGCTTTAGGTAAGCCTAATTTTCATGTCCAGGGCCGTCAAGAGGGCCCGAGGCAAAACTTTCCCAGGGGCCCCTATGACGTCATGTTTGCGAGAACAGGAGAAGCGGTGTTTTAGAAAAAATTACACTTTACTGTATGTTATGCCGCAATCTTGTATCAAGAAATCTTAAGGCCTTCGTTCCTTTGGGGCTCCTTTTAAGCTGGGGGCCCAGGGCAAAGTGCCCCCTGCCCCCTCCTCTCGGCGGACCTGTTTGTGGCTCACCCATAGTACGCAATATGTGACTGTATTTTCCCGGATCTTGTTTTCTGGACACAGAGACCATTTTTGCTGGAACAACGGACTTATACACTTGGGGCATTTTAAGGGGAGGGGGTTAATAGAGGGAAGGAGTGCGCTTGGGGGATTGATTTAGCTGAAATAATAGAGTGTTATAAAAGTACTGTCATAGAATGGACCTTTAACCTTATAACTAAAATTTTGATGTAGACAAAAATTTCATCACAGCTTGAAAGAGCATCACAAAATTAGTAATATTCCAAAGTTTCGTTACGAAATGTTGTAACATGCGGATAATATATAGCCCTGCGAAGTTTGCAATTTTCAGTCATTTTAGATTACAAACTGGAAATTGATACCCAAATCGGGTGTTTGGGAAAATTGCAAACTTCGCAAGGCTATATTATCCGCATTTTACAACATTTCGCAACGAAACTTCGGAATATTACTAATTTTGTTATGGTCTTGCAAGCTGTGATGAAATTTTTGTCTAGACTTGTCTAGATCAAAATTTTAGTTATAAGGTTAAAGGTCCATTGAAATGGTTATTTTAATTGTGTATATTGATTATTGGATTGATGTGGTATACTTGTTTTCTCGTTGTATAGTGGGGAAAAACCACAGCAAAAACCAAAGCAATTCCTGCCGCTTGTCAGTTTCCTTGAATGGCTTCGAATTTCATGTGTATAACAGGTGCTATACATGTACACTGTTTGTATACTTACAATATCTAAGATATAGGAAAACTACAAAAACAGTAATATACTGTGTAACCTATGACTAACATAAGGACTTCTAATAAATTAAACATTCATCATAACCGTTGTAATTTTTCAGGTCTGATTTGTATGACAGATTACAAGACTTGTGCAAAAAAGATCGTTACGGAGGTACATTATACATCCAATTTGTGGTTGTTTTTGTCGGGAATCTGATTTGATTTAATTTTTTGTAGTGTAGCCAATGGTTGTACGTACATAAGGGACAAATCTTTCACATTTCAGTTTAATCAATTTGGGTGAAAATTCTACTAAAAATTTACAAAAGTTGTGTAATGGATATATAATTTTTTGTAAAAATAGACGTGAATTTGGCTGGCGATCTCATATAGTATAGTTTCTATTTGCCCTCAAGTTGAAATATCTTATTGAAGTATTAAATTCATTTCCGTTACTTAAATATTCATTCTTTATTATTCTTTATTAGATGCCCATAAATCATCTGAAAATTTGAACGAGGATCAAAACATTAAGTAAGATTTATTCCAATTAAATAAATTGCTGTACTTTCCCAATTCCAATGAATTTTGAAGCGATCAAATTGCACAATACCATTACTCATTTGGAGAATTTCACTCGACACATTTCATATTAGAGAGGTTCAGATTTGACTTCCACTACCACTAGTCCTACCACTACCATTAGGGGACCATTAACCAATTAGATGCGTTTGATATCCGATTAACCAATCAGATGCGTAGTAAGCCAGTGAGAGGTAGTGGAAGTCAAATCTGAACCTCGCTATTATTTCACATCACGTATATATAAACACGTTTACTGTTCTTCTTGTATTTGGTTAATATTATGCTAATCAAGCTTTGTTATCTTTTTGTGCATGACACATACAGCTGTATTATTTCAAATATAAAGTAAATACTGTATTGACTGATCTTCTTGTTATATAGTGGTTAATGTAGTAATAAAAAATGACAAAACTTATCTTTTCCTTTCTCTTTTGTCCTGTCCTGTCTTGTCCAGTGAAATTGTACCAGATCACCATGGGAATTACCTCTGGAGGGATCTTATTCCAGCTATCAAATTTGACATTAACTCAGTAAGTGAAAACTAATTGAGAAGTTTACTTTGTTATACACCAAAATTAATGTACAAAATAGGTTGTTTATAGTGTTACATGCATGTTACAGTACACTGTTACATACCTTAGTGTAGATTACATTTGTAGGGACACTGGAAATGGGGTAATATAAGTTCTGTAAGAGTGACCAGTCTTTTACGACAAAGTTTGTAAATGAATAAATAAATACATACATACATAAATCAGTGTTACACACTGTGACATGCTCTAACCGTAATCCCTCACTCCACAGCGCTGGCCTCACTGAATAAAGCATTTCAATGTTGCAATTGCAGGATACTTTTATTTGTAGCTTTTTTGTAAGCTGCGTGTAATTATTTTGAAGGGAAAGGTTGCTTTTGGAAATAAAATGGTGGAAACAACTCTGTGTTTTCATTTTGAAAGTGCAGCTGCCATATATAGGGTAAACAAGGTAAGAGGAATTAATATGGTGCAGTCACTTTAAAATTAAATAAGTCAAACTTTCCGCTAATGAGGTCATACCTGGATATGACCTAGAATTTTAAATTCGTTTAATTTCATATGTTATGTTATGTTATGTTATGTTATGTTATGTTATGTTATTTGAAATATTTCAAATGGCCTATATAGGTTGAGTTTGAAAAAAATGTTAGTATACAACACCAAGAGCGGACATTTTGACATATTTCAGTCCATTTTACCATTGTTTATTGGTACATACAGTTGTGATAGAATACAAACGTACGAGTAAAGCGATAACCTAGGCCATGGACGTCAGATTGCGTAGTTATAGTTTACACTTTAGACTGCTTTTCATTCTTGCGCTTTTTATACGACACTATATATCCTTCTAAATTTTATATTTGTTTAATACGTTGACAAACGCACTAAATGAATCATTAATGATGAAAAAAACCAACTATAAATATGTACTTTTGTAGATATGTACACATTCTGATATTTCATAACTAGCGTTTAAAATTAATGGTTTACCTTTACATTTTTCTTGCCTATGCGTACGTATGAAATAAGGCTGACTGGAATGCAGCGTTTAATTTAGAACGTACTGCATTGTGCATGGTTTCTAATAACATAATAATTAAGCAAAATGTTTGGGCAAACTATTGAATGGGAAAATATTTCATGTACTGTGTGAATTACAACTGTCAGAGAATGTATCCTTGTCAAAACGTTTTACGCTGGCCTTCTAATATTTTATACATTTTATGTTCATTAATTTTCGTGTATGAACCATGCGCCAAGTTCAAATCAATACTAGAAACATATAAGTACTGCCATGTTGTTTGATTTTTAGCCTGCCTCATTATTGGACCAATTTGCTCATAAAGTATCATGTGACTGCAAGAATTTTCGTGTTATGTTGGCCCCCAGCAATGGTTACACTGGCGACCGAGATGAGTGAGTAGAATATCTATATTTAGTTATTTGTGAATGTCATTATATAAAGGCTGATTGACAACTTTTGCCTAAAACTGTCGCATCCTACCCGCTTACAACTTGAGTTGTACTGTAAATGAAGCACACCACTAGCTAACATTGTCGTAGGTGAGTTGTATGCTGATTTACACAGTACAACGCAAGTTGCATGCGACAGGTTTAGGCGAAAGTTGTGTAGTCTAAAGCCCATTTTCCCCAAATTTTCCACTATAGGGGAATTTGTTCGCGCGAACAGTAAAAAAGTGGGAACTTTCCAACTTTTCCGCGGCGAATTTATTCACTGACCAATCACATTGCCAAGATTTGTTTTTCGCTTCGCGCGAACAAATTCGCCTAATGGAAAATGAGCTTAAATCGGCCAATTAGGTACAGTAACGTTTACCAATTAGGTACAGTAATGCGGTTAAATGTGTATATCAGAATCTGTATGTCCGTTCCAAATTTCCATTGCCACCACCTCTTTAAGCCCTTTCCATCCCCATGAATTAATTCCCCTCTGGAAACGCCAGCAAGCCAAAAGCGTCTCGACAAATCCGACTACGGCGGAGAAAAAATGAGCCCATTTAGTTCAGCATGTTTGAGTTTATGATGGATTTGAATCTGACGTAAAAAGTAAGTTGCTGTACATCACATTACAGAGGGTTTTTTTGTCATATTTAATATATGGTTGTTTTACAGTCCTCCTCGCTACATGGGCGAAGGTTTTGTTGTTCTTCAATCACAAGTTTGTCAAATGACGTATTTACAAGATGAACCAGGTACATCAATATTTCCAAGTGCAGTAACATTTTTCATATACGAAAGCTTTTGTTTGAAATGTTGAATATTTTCTCCTCACACGTGTTTTTAAACACGTGTTTTTTTGCAGCTTCACCCTGGATACCAAATGTTAAGGCCTACTAGGCTTTCCATATATTTAAGCAGCCAAATATATGCAAAGGCCTTAACATTTGGTTTACAGGGTGAGGCTGCAGAAACGACATTTTCGTCTGTCCTGTTCATTAAGAACATCAGAAGAACGAGAAGAAAAGATTTGCATATTAATGTAGCATTGGGTAGAAACTCACGATCAAATTAATATGAAACAAAATATATAACTTTTCTGTACAAACATACGTCTAGAACTACTTCTTGTGTTAGTGGTTGTGTGAACTTATCAGAATGGTTCTATACTAAACGCCGCGGCCGACACCGGATTCCGTATGGTTGTTTTGAGAGTTGTTCATCGCCCGTCCTTAAAATTGTGTTTGATTCCTAAGATGTAACGTTCAATTTTTCTGGTTGTTGTTAGGCGTTGTACCAGAAATGAACACCGAAAACGAAAGTGCAATAGAAACAGACCCTTGTTGGAATCTTGATGTTACTTTTGTTAAATCAACATCGCTTAGTTACGGTCCTTGGGCTGACAGGCAAAGGTAGTATTCTGCATAAATTGAATGTAAATGTGGTTCCCCATACAAACTATGATGTACAACGAATGAACAAACAATGCTGTATAACGAAAGAACTTGTTACTTCTTAATTTTCGTCAAACATTCCCCAAGAATATAGTCAATATTTTAGAGAAGCGTAGTGCAAACTGCATTTTAAAATACAAGACAGTATATACATGTATTTTCTCCGATAAAACCAAACCATTTAGATCTTCCCAGGATAGTTGTCTGTATTACCAGTCTGCTCTTATGTCTATGACTTATAATCTATCACAAGGTGATATACCAATAGATATATGATTTGTGTTTTAGAGAACAACTTCAGAAATTCTTTTTCCCATTTGACTATCAAGAGCAAATTGTTAGCAAAGCACTCGCCCCTGGCCAACGGCGAGAGCATTCAGGATTGGATATCAGATTTGACTTTGAATGTGATTCTACACTTGACATATTATTTACCAAGGATCAGGTAAATTGTCACACAGATTTTCAGTTATTCTTCTAGTCATGTGTGTAGGGAACGGTATTGTTTTATAGTAATGTACAAGCATTTGTTGGTAGGGATGCAACTACCTGAAAATATATAACTTTACAATGTATAAAGGAAGTGTTAGGGAAACTGTCATTACAAATACTATGCAGTGGCAAGTATTTGAGGTGGTGTGAATTGGTGTGAACTGGGTGAGTGTGCCAGGGCCGCCGAGAAGGGGGCAGGGGGGGGGGCAAATTGCCCTGGGCCCCCACCTTAATAGGGCCACGACTTGATAGCGAGAGCCTAAAATTGAGTAGGTTCTTTAAATTGGTCAGAGAATTTTTGAAATTGAGGGCCCCTTACAGTATCTCCACATGCAGTCTAGTTAAGGTTAAAAATAAAAATAATGCTTAAAAATAATGATTTTTAATGGGGCCCCAGGGAAGATTTGTCCCAGGCCCTGCGAATTCTCTCGGCGGCCCTGGAGTGTGCATGAGGTGTGGGTGTGGTAACGTGAAGTACGTGGGTGAAGTAGTGTGAAGTACGTACGTGAATGTGCATGAAGGTGCATGCAGTGATGTGAAGTGCATGAAGTGATTTGAAGTACATGAAGGTGCATGAAGTGATTTGAAGTACATGAAGGTGCATGAAGTGGTGTGAAGTACACGAAGGTGCATGAAGTGATGTGAAGTACATGAAAGTGCGTGAAGTGATGTAAAGTGCATGAAGGTGCATGAAGTGGTATGAAGTACATGAAGGTGCGTGAAGTGATTTGAAGTACATGAAGGTGCATGAAGTGATTTGAAGTACATAAAGGTGCATGAAGTGGTGTGAAGTACATGAAGGTGCGTGAAGCGATGTGAAGTACATGAATGTGCGTGAAGTGATGTAAAGTGCATGAAGGTGCATTCAGTGATGTGAAGTACATGAAGGTGCGTGAAGTGATGTGAAGTACATGAAGGTGCGTGAAGTGATGTGAAGTACATGAAGGTGCGTGATGTGATGTGATGTGATGTGATGTGATGTGATGTGATGTGAAGTGCATGAAGTGCGTGAAGTGATGTGAAGTACAAGAAGGTGCATGAAGTGGTATGAAGTACATGAAGGTGCGTGTAGTGGTATAAAGTACATGAAGGTGCGTGATGTGATGTGATGTGATGTGATGTGATGTGAAGTGCATGAAGGTACGTGAAGTGATGTGAAGTACATGAAGGTGCATGAAGTGGTATGAAGTACATGAAGGTGCGTGTAGTGGTATGAAGTGCATGAAGGTGCGTGATGTGATGTGATGTGATGTGATGTGATGTGATGTGATGTGATGTGATGTGAAGTGCATGAAGGTGCGTGAAGTGATGTGAAGTACATGAACATGAAGTGGTATGAAGTACATGAAGGTGCGTGTAGTGGTATGAAGTGCATGAAGGTGCGTGATGTGATGTGATGTGAAGTACATGAATGTGCGTGAAGTGATGTAAAGTGCATGAAGGTGCATTCAGTGATGTGAAGTACATGAATGTGCGTGAAGTGATGTAAAGTGCATGAAGGTGCATTCAGTGATGTGAAGTACATGAAGGTGCGTGAAGTGATGTGAAGTACATGAAGGTACGTGAAGTGATGTGAAGTACATGAAGGTGCGTGTAGTGGTATGAAGTGCATGAAGGTGCGTGATGTGATGTGATGTGATGTGATGTGATGTGATGTGATGTGATGTGAAGTGCATGAAGGTGCGTGAAGTGATGTGAAGTACATGAACATGAAGTGGTATGAAGTACATGAAGGTGCGTGTAGTGGTATGAAGTGCATGAAGGTGCGTGATGTGATGTGATGTGAAGTACATGAAGGTGCGTGAAGTGATGTGAAGTACATGAAGGTGCGTGATGTGATGTGAAGTGCATGAAGGTGCGTGAAGTGATATGAAGTACATGAAGGTGCGTGAAGTGGTATGAAGTACATGAAGGTGCGTGATGTGATGTGATGTGATGTGATGTGACGTGAAGTGCATGAAGGCACGTGAAGTGATGTGAAGTACATGAAGGTGCGTGAAGTGGTGTGAAGTGTATGAATGTGAATGATTGTGGTATGAAGTGCATGAAGGTGTATGATGTGATGTGAAGTGCATGAAGGTACGTGAAGTGGTGTGCAGTGTGTGAGATGTTGTGAGGGTGGATTAATTGAAGTGCATTGGTGAAGTGGTGTGAGGTCCTTGAGGTGGTTTGAAGTGGAGTGAAATAGTGATGTGGTGTGAGGTCCGTGAGAGTGGGTGATGTAGTGTGAAATGCATGAGATGGTTTGAAGTATGTGAGGTGGTTTGAGGTTATATGAAATGCGTGAAGTGGCGTGAAGTTCGTGATGTAGGAGTGAGGTCCGAAAGAAGGGTCGGTTAGGTGGTTTGAGGTGGAGCGAAATGCGTGAAGTGATGCGACGTGCGTGAAGGTGTGTGCGAGGGACGTGAAGGTGTGCGCGTGGAGTGTTGTGAGAGTGGGTGAGGTGATGGGAAGTGCGTGAGGGTACGTGAAGAGGTGTGAAGCGCTTAAGGTGCGTGAAATTCGGTGAGGTGATGTGAAGTTCATGAGGTGGTGCAAGATACTTGAAAGTCGGTGAGGTGGTGTGAAGTGCTTGAGGCGGTGCAAGATGCTTGAAAGTCGGTGAGGTTGTGTGAAGTGCTTGAGGTAGTTGTGAAGTGCTTGAGGTGGTGCATAGTGCTTTAGAGTCCGTGAGGTGGTGTGAAGTCCGTGAGGTGGTGCAAATTGCTTGAAAGTCGGTGAGGTTGTGTGAAGTGCTTGAGGTGGTGCAAGATGCTTGAAAGTCGGTGAGGTGGTTGTGAAGTGCTTGAGTTGGTGCAAGATGCTTGAAAGTCGGTGAGGTTGTGTGAAGTGCTTGAGGTGGTTGTGAAGTGCTTGAGGTGGTGCAAAGTGCTTGAAAGTCTGTGAGGTTGTGTGAAGTGCTTGAGGTGGTGCAAAGTGCTTGAAAGTCGGTGAGGTTGTGTGAAGTGCTTGAAGTGTTCGTGAAGTGCTTGAGGTGGTGCAAAGTGCTTGAAAGTCGGTGAGGTTGTGTGAAGTGCTTGAGGTGGTTGTGAAGTGCTTGAGGTGGTGCAAAGTGCTTGGAAGTCGGTGAGGTTGTGTGAAGTGCTTGAGGTGGTTGTGAAGTACTTGAGGTGGTGCAAAGTGCTTGGAAGTCGGTGAGGTTGTGTGAAGTGCTTGAGGCGGTGCAAGATGCTTGAAAGTCGGTGAGGTGGTGTGAAGTGCTTGAGGTGGTGCAAAGTGCTTGAAAGTCGGGGAGGTGGTGTGAAGTGCTTGAGGTGGTTTGAGATGATGCGAAATGGTGTGAGGGTGCCTGAGGTTGTGTAAAGTGATGTGATTGGTGTAGTTTGTCGGTACTGCCTTGTACATTATTTTGTCTCACACCACACTTCACAGCATCTTATATCCCTCATGCAATAACTAAACCATTACTAATATGTTAACGATGACATGTTATTTTGGCATGTTTTAAATAAAATTGGTGTGAAAATTTTAAGACGTCCCTGACATATCGTTTTTCGGGCGAAGACGAATTCTTCTGAATTGCAATTATTTATTTCCCTTATCCCTTGTTCAGGAAACTCAAGCAGTTCATTTATGTGTTGGCACTGGTTCCCACGTGCAGATCTACCAACCATGGCGAGTTAATGAATATGGTTACATGGCGTCTGTGGTTGCACATTTACAGCAAGTTGAAGCTTCAACAAGTTTACAATTTCGTCAGTTTTTGGAAGCAGAGGGTGTAAAGGTAACTTTAATTATAATCAAACCTTTGAGAAATATTGAGGAGAGGGTATATAGTGTTTGTTACTGTATCGATGTGATGTCAAGAAAATGCATTGCTTGTCAGCTACTCATCGCTTACTTGCTCATCAACTACTTCATACTTTTATTTTAGGTCACTGTTAACATGACTATACCTCGCATTTGGAATCACACACAACACTGGTCAGCAGATATTACGTTGAGCAAAGCCACTTGGTATTTCATCTTCGCGCACAAATTCTTCTTTCAAGGTGAAACTGAATGTTTTAGTTTTTGTACTATAGTTCCAATATTTGGCTACAAGGCCGTCGGAAGTAAAGGGGGGCTCAATCACGTTCTTGAATAAATCTGAATTGTTTTCGCACTTTTCTAGTTCTTTTGTGTGTTTTATTTATACAAATGGAAATTATTGCCCCCCCCATTGGTAGCCCCTCCCCCGCTTCCGACGGCCTTGGGCTACCTTTATATTGCATTGATGTAATAGCACGTTTGACTTTTCGCTACTTTTATTAGGTCCGTAACATTTCAGGCAAAAATGTACAAACGAAAATCCGTATTTTTGACAAGATTTTAAAGTTGTAGTTTTTTGGTTCAGTCAGGACAAAACTCCAAAAGGTTAAAAACGGTGAAATGTTAAAAATGCTCTACGGTTTGAGCAGCTTAGCTGCTCTTCTTTAGGTACTTGTGCAATATGACGGCTTCTTTGTGAAGCTTGCTTGCCTGGACAGGCTGAAGTGTATATTAGGATCAGGGTTGGAAAAAGTATCGGACCAAGGGACTATTTGGTTTCAGAAAATTTCTAATTTGTCAGACAATTTTTGGATGGAGTAAGAAAGAAAGAAAGAAGGAAGGAAGGAAGGAAGGAAGGAAAGACAAAAAATGAAAAAGAATTTAACAAAACAAATAAGAGAACGCCGCAGTCCAGATGTGAGGTCAACAAATGCCTGGAGTGCAAGGGTCGACAATTTCAATTATGCAACTTAAACAATGGATCGTATTCAGTTCAGTAGCAAGCTAGAATTTTGCTTTGTCACAGTGGTCCCAGACAATTCTACCCTGATCTACTAATAATATACATATGTGTGTGGGAAAATGTGTGATTTAATTTTGTTAATACAGATCTAGCAAATGACTGGTCGACCAAGTCTGCCTCGGAACTTCTCAACTTCATTCCTTATGAATGGGCTCTGAATATTGCGTTGAGAGATTTTGAAATGATATGGATGGCAAACGAATATAACTGGATAGATTGTTCGACCATTTTCCAAGAAAACAGTGAGTTATGGGAATTTCTGTATACCTTTGAGAAATATTGCATAGAAAATTCAATTAAAAACGTATCACTTTCATGGTATTTTTTATTTTTGCCTTTCTAACTCAATCTCGTTCCCCGAGCCTGCGATCATCAGGAAGGAACACGAGGCTCTGGGATAATCCGTTTCAGGGAGGAATCTGATTGGCCGTTGAAATGGAATGCGTAGTTCAATCTTAGCCAGGATTCCTGGCTTCCGGCAACGGATTATCCCAGAGCCTCGCGTTCCTTCCCGAGGATCGCAGGCTCGGGGAACGAGATTGTTTCTAACTTTACCATAGCGTATGCCACCTATCTCGTCCCAGGCCCTCTAATCTGCTCTCTCTCGTTTCATTGAGATTTCCAATTTCCGTGGTCTTTGAATGTGCTACGAATGAAATATACTTTCAATAGCTTTCAGTCATTCAGGTAGCTAACTGTTTCCCTGCATTTCCAACAAATGGTAAAGTAAGGTGACTCTGGGTTCTACCATTGTCAAGTGCAGATATAGACCTTTCAAATATGAAACTAGTCTTTAAACTAGTCTTTTATATGATACTTTTACAAATATTATTATTATTAGTAGCCATCAGCCGTTCTCTTTCTTTTAGCCGAGCTAGCTTTATGTGGCGAGTCTTTGGATCTATCTTTCACACTATCTTACACTACCTTTCTGCCCGAAATCGAGGAAATCAAATTTCTTATTCAAGTGAGTAAAATTGGTTTCTTATGCAGGTGACGTTATTCATAAAACCAGAATGCATATTCATGACAAACACGGCTAATTTTAACGAGATGAAACTAAACTAAACTAAGCTAAGCTAAGTAGTAAACAGTCCTTAAGCAAAACGTTTTTTTTGTTAATTTCTCAATGAAGGTTGAACGACTTGTAGGGAGATTGAATATTCCAGAATCCAATACTCTTCGTCGTAGTTTATTATCACTAGCACGAGATGAAGATCGCAAGACAACTCCCAGTATTAGATCATCGACATCAGCAAATGTTGATCAAGAAACTCATGATAGTGCAGATGAACAGACGCCATCTAATGACGAGAATGAACTCAGTGGTGGCTGGAGAAGACATACTGAGTTAAGGAATGGATGGGTTGATGTATTCTCTACACCAATACTTTCAGTAATCATTACATATATTTACCATCCTATCGTGCCAGGGGAAACATTTCAAAATGTTCAAGAACGTTGTCGGTCATATGGTGAATCCGTACCAGAACTATCTACTGATCTTGAAGCTGATGTCATCAATTTAGAAGTTGATGCTAATTCTTGTGCGTTTAAACTCGTAGGGATGGTACTAAGGGCACTTGGTAATATCAAGGTAAACAATCTTCTGCTAAGTTGTTAACTGGGAACTAGCCACCAAGTTTTGGGAAATAAGAGATGTAAAATGTTGGTGTATATCATTATTTTCGGTATTTCTAGATCACTAAACTTTTCAACCAACTTTTGCAACTATTTAAATATTTTGTACAAATAACTTAAAGTATAAATAAATGTTCATTGTATAGGTATCATGCAGTTTATACTATAAAATACTCCTTTTTACTTATGTGTATTAATGATACATACGATATTTTTAAGAGTGATCATTACTCTAGATAATTTAAATGACGTAATCGACTTTCTTAAGTGATTATAGTATAAGGAGCAAGGTTAGGTTGGGGATTATAGGATTATAGGATTGCATAGATTAGGGTATGAAATCGCTGTGTTTAAATACCATAACCCAGGAATGCACGTGTAATGATTCATTACATTTTCTTTATAACATCCAGGGATGTTTGCACATTGGAATTTTTAGTTTAGTTTGGATCGCCATTACTTTTTCGGACATAGTTTTAGCCGTTTGCACAAATATCTCGATTGATTATGGACCAATACCTGCAGTGCAAACTTTTAATAAAGACACTTTGAATCTGTTTTGTCTGCAGGAGAACTATTTTGGTGCCTATCAGATTTACAGAGACTTTGATGCACGGAGTTTATCAAAAATAAAACGGACAGTTACTTCTCAAGACGTTGGTGGTGATGACTTAAGTATTACAGATGTTGATCCACTATCATTGCGACCCATGGAGGCTAATGTTCTGGTTAACTTGGGCTCTATCAGGGCTGAATTGACTCAGGTACATTATACTGCTTTTGCTTGTTCACATGTTTGTTTGTTTTGCTCAATAGTTCCAGTTAATTAATCGGTGTAACTTTTGTTTCATGTGTAAGAATTGATAAGCCTCATTTTTATGCATTATTTGATACAGCTTAGCGCTACATGCATGGCTGACCATATGTTACACGCCTGCGCCTCTCTCTCCTCCGCAGAGAGGAGATTAATTTAGCAAGAATTTCGTTATTGCGCTAGAAGGTAAATAAAGGGGAAAAGTAACTGCTAAAATTCTGTACGCGGGAGAGAAGAGAAGGGAATTTTAAAGGTATTGTTTTTTGTTTTCCTCTTTGTTACCCCCCGCCCCCAATGGTCCACCCGTAAACTGAACTTATCATTGAATTTTGGTGCAGATTTTAAACTCCGTATTGTTGTCATGGCTCGGCAAAGAATTTCCACAATGAAGACAACTTTTGCGTTGAATTTCTCTTTAAATGCAATAGTTTCTTTGAGAAGATACATCACACACTTGAAGTCGTTTTTAGTAAGAAACACTTCAAAGTGTGTTAAAAACTCGATTAGGGCTCCGTTTTTTCGAAGCATTTTTTAGTGCTCCAAGTTATTGGAATAAGATCCTTTTCCTGTATGCTAATTGCAACACACTTTTAATGAATTTCTGACAGCATTGCAGTTGTGAAGATGTGGCTTCTCCCCTTTTTGTTACTGATCGTTTAACATTTGAAATGCACAAGAATTTCTCCGAGACAAGATTACAGCTTCAACTTACACCAACAACAATCTTTGCTAATGATGTCATCAAGGTAGGCTAATCAAACAATAGATTGACCTTTACGATTAATTAGTGTTATATGGTGTAAGTTATTTTCGAGATGTTAAAGTTTGTTTGTTTAAAGTTATTGCATGGCAGTGCACCAATTGTTATGGACAAAATTGATTGAATTTTATGATTTTTCTATTTCAAATTTTCATTATTTAATTTTTGTTATACTGGATCTGAAAGTTTATTTCGGTTTTAAATGGTTAAGTTCAAAACTGTAAGGATCTTTCAGCATTTCAAAAGTTTTACCCTGCCATGCAGTGAGGTCGTAGATTTAGTCGTCATAGATTTAGCCGTCATAGATTTAGGCCTGTTCTAAACGTCGCATTTTACATGTGCCGAATGCATTCAAAACAATAGATAATCAGCTGAAATGCCTCATTATCCATTGTTTTGAATGCATT